CCGGCTGCAGCTCCAGCCAGCAGCCCGCACCAGGCATGTTTGGTGATTCCAGCCCTGCGCATCGAGTCCCTCTCCGTCTTTCAGTCTTTCCAGCCGAGGCCCCAGATATTGTGGAGCAGAGACAAGCCGTCTGCTGTGTCCTACCCGACTTCCCAACTCCCAGAATCTGTGTGTGCAATAACACGGCTGTTTTGTGCGACTAGATCCCGCTGTCTGCCTCCCACTGCCCCTCTACCAGGCACGTCTGAGCTACTGTTCTTGAGTGGTGAGCGCACACCAGGCACGGTGCAAAGGGCTCTTCCGGCTCGGCCTCAGCCCCGTGGAGCGGGCCAGCGTGAATTATTTATTCCTATTCCCATTTCCCCAGTAAGAAAACTGAGGACTGCCGAGGCCCCACAGCGAAGTGCCAGAGCCCGGCTTGGAGCCCGGTCTGCCTGACTCCGGGAGGGCTTTTACTTGGTGGGCGATAAAACAAGGAAGACAGAAAGGTGTGCGGGAGAGCAGTCCTGAAGGGACAAGCACAGAGAGCCGAGGCGCAGGCCGAGATTTTCCATGGGCTTGCTTTGCTGCCAAGGACTCTTCAGAGAAAACCTGTCGGTTGGTTCAGCCACGTGGAGGTGGGGCTCACAAAATCTGGAAATGTCTTCACCAGTTCCAAGGCACACACAAACATGACTTGCCCTCTCTGGGGGTCAACGTTCTTTATGATTTTTGCTCTCCAGGAAAATATTATTTCATTTATATAAACAAAACATTACATATGGGGGAAAACTGAAAACGTGGCATTCCTGGCCTGCTTTTCTCCACGGACCAGAAACTGAGAAGGTTTCTCCATTTCCTTTCTCACAGCCTGTCTGCGTGTCGGTGTGGAACTGCCGGCACAGCCCCTCCCCAGGGTGTAGAGTGCGGCAGCTCTCTGTGGGGTGGATGTAGGGACACTGCAGAGGCGGAGGGGCCAGCCTCCACTGGGACCACTCTGACATTAACCTAGGCCTCAGCCAAGGTTAACCTAGGCCTAACCAAGACTAGGGCTGCGCCCAGCACCGGAGTCTGCGTGCCCTGTGCCCCAGGCAGGCAAGCTGGCTGGAGAGGTGGGTGCAGCAGCAAGAGTGGTCAGGGAACACACTCTGGCCTCCTTTTGGCTCCTCGACATGCCACACCTTGCCCCCTCGTGGCTTCTGCCACCTGTGTCCCCCACTAACGTGTTAGCTCCATGAGGGCAGGTCTGTAACTGGTGCCTGGGTGTGCGGCCCACAGCAAGTGCCTGGTTCACAGCAGGCCCTTGGCATGGACGTCTTGAAGGAAAGAACGAATGAACACATCTTGGGGCCTTTCCTTGGCAGGTGTGGGGGGTGCCTGACTACCGGAAAGAGAGCCCAGAGCAGTAGCTTAAACCCCTGCCTGAGGAGCCAAGGGAGGCTGCGTTCCTGCCATTCCTGGGACTGCAAGAGGCGCATTCCTGCCTCAGGGTCTGGTCGGGCTCCTGCCACGAAGCCCAGTCTAACTGCCAGGCCGGGGTGGGCCTCTTTGGAGCCGCCCCTCTGGCCCCGCCCTCCATGGACCCCTTGCTGTCCCTGGCTGCAGAGGCACCCCCCTCTCTGCCATCTGAGGCTGCAGGTGGGAAGCCAGGGCCACTGAGTGAGCCCCAAGCTTTCCAGACACTGCCCAGCCCTCCGGTGATCAATGAAAGCCTTGACATCCCGCTCCTGGGGCTGCAGCCAGGGGTCTGGAGAATCGGAGGGAAACACCCCCGTGAGCCAGCTTGCTCAGCTGCCTGAAAACTGCCGGTGTCAGCACTTCCCCGGGAGCGAGTGCCGAGTCAGCAGTCGCAGCTCTGGAGCTCCTTGGAGAACCAGGTGCTCGCAGGGCCCAGCAAGGAGCTCAAAGGCTGGGGCTGGAGGTGCGAGGGCGGGAGACGTGATTCTTACATCGGGGCCCTCAGTCTGAGGGGGAAGGCAGACAAGGGACTAACAGGCACAGGTAATTCTCTGATGCGCAGGACCGCAGGATGGAAGCACTATGGAGAGGTGCAGAGAGTCGTAAGGGGGCTGGGGACTCTATGAAAGGCCAGCTAGTGCATATTTTAGGTTTTGCAGGGTGGGGTTGGGGGGGTGTCTTTGTCCCAACCACTCAGCTCTGCCATTGGAGTGTGAAAGCGGCCACAAAGTCAGTGGCTAGGTGTGGTTGCGCTCGGGTAGCAACAGGGGCGGTGGGTCTGGCCCTTAGTTAGCCAACCCCTGGTGTGGCCGGGCCTGACCTGGTCCAGGAAGGGTGGGGCTAGGGTGGGGCTAGGGCGAGGGAACACTTCCTTGAGGTGGTGACATCTTGCTAAGACCTGAAGGGTAATTTGATGCAGAGCGGAATCATAATTTTGACAATAATGACATCGTCCTAGTAACGGATGTTGCGCTTGACAAACGTGATCTATGTGGCAGGCTCGGTGCCCATGGCTTCACCTGGGATCTCAGTAAATTCCTACAATAGCCTGGGGGGCGGGGAACCAGTGTGCCCACCTTACAGATGGGGAAATGGAGCCATGGTGCGTGCTGAGTGTTCTGTGGCCCCTCAGACGCCTAGTCCTCTCTGTGCCTTGGCAATCCCTGGACTTGGTAACACTTTTTCTTTCCTGTGTTCTTCAGCCCAGAGGTGCTGGGCGCCACGCCACTCTTTGTGTGAAGTACTTGTTCTTGTTCCCATTCCATCTTCATTAAGTCTCTCCCTGTGAGCCTTCAGGGGGCAATTCTGTTTCCTGCCAGGATTCCGACCGATGCCAGTGGTTCCTTCACTTGCTGGGCCCTGGGTCTCACAGGAACAATGGGGCCAGGTGGAGGGGACAGTGGGTGCAGAGGAGGGGAGGCTGGCTGGCCCTGAGGCGGCTGGGCCGGGGTGGGCCCGGCCCGGGCACTGGTTTCCATCCTAGGCAGGGGTTGAAGGTAAATGCAGCTCCTCCTCTCCGGCCCCAGAGCCTGGTGGGTGGCCCAGTCCTTGAGGCCCCCAATTAGCAGTGATAGTTTTCTGAGCCGGGCTGCTGGGCTACAACCCTCCAGTGAGCAGCAGGGGCCCTGGGACATGAACCGTCCAGTGTTGTTGGCAGGGCAGAAAGGAAGGGTGGCCATGAGACTTTTTGGCACCCGGGGAAGCCCAGAGACGTGGCTTCTCCTGCTAATGCACATTAACCACGGAAGGCTGCAGAGGCTTATTCAAGCTCATCTCGGGGAGCTCAGAAGGGCAGAACACTTCTTCATTGAGTCCAGTCTCTGCTCCAGGATTCTGGCATTATCTCCTGAGGAAGCAGCCTGGATGGCCCGTGTTTCCTGTTGTTCCCTCTGTGGCCCCAAACAATCGCTGTAGGATCCTGCTGCTATTTCCGACATCCCTTGGATGGGACCCCTGCCCCTGCCCACCATAGGCCAGGTGTAGGTGACTGAGCATGGGGAAGGAACACTGCTGACCGCGAGAGGAAGGTGTTCCAGAACATGGACAGAGCTGAGGGGGCGGAGACAAGACTAGCACCAGGGGCTCACTTCTGGCCACCTTTGCTGGTGGCTCGTCTCCTCTGTGGGCTCAATATTGGGCTCATGGAACCCTGTGAAGATCCAGCTGAGGCCAGGCCTCTGCTCCTTGAGGTGTGGACAGTGGCACCTCCCAAGGCTCTGGGGAGCACGGGTGTCTCCCTCTGCTAAGTCACTACGGGCCCCTGGAGGTGCCGGGAGGTGCCACTGTCCACACCTCAAGGGACAGAGTCCTGGCCAATGGCACGATGGAGGCAGGAGAGGCTGCAACAGAAAAGGAGCGTGAAAGGCAGGGCAGAGGCCTCGCTTGCTGGCGTTCGTGAGAGGCTGCCACTGCCTGCTGCAGCCTCTGTGGTCCCATGCCCGGTGGCTGATGCAGCCGCCACGCTGGCCTGGCACCGACAGCAGAGCGAGGGGCTTGGGCAGGCCAATGGGCTGGGGGAGCCGCAGGACCAGGCAGCAGCCTTTAACAGCCACCCCCTCCCTGGTCACTCTGCATGTAGGTGACACTGAGTGCCTCCTACATATCATTTCCATGCTGACCTCCCAATGACCCTGGGATGGAGGTTTCACTGTCCACATTTTACAGGTGAGGAAACTGAGGTCCAGAGGGTGGAGTTGCTTATCCGACACTGCAGTGGTCTAGACCCCAGGCTGGGGTGACCCAGGCTCAAGCCAGGAAGAGGAAGCACCGCTGGCCCCTGACCCCAGTCCTGTCCCTCCCTGGGCAGCGGCACAGCTCGGCCCCAGGCACGAAGCTGGGTGGAACAGTGACAAAGGGAAACTGTCACAGCAATAACGACGAAGCACTTTCACAATGTGTCCCCGTGGGCAGAGCAATTTACAGACATGAACCTGCCCCGGCTTCACAACAATCCCTGCAGGGTGACAGCTAGTATTCCCTCCGTCATGTGGTCAAAGCCACTGGAGATCAGACCAATAAGGCAACAAGGCTAGGAAACAGCACAGCTTGGGCTGACTTCCAAGCTCGGGTTCTTAATCACTAAGGGACACAGAGTGTGTGTCCCAAATACGTGAACAGAACTGATGCTCCAGGAGCTGAGCCATCTGTGTCCGGGGCACCACACACCCCGGCACCCCGTGCACCCTGCAGGGCATGTCGGCTCCAGGGCACTGCGCTTGATGATAAGGGTCCAGGTGGCCCGGAGAACATCCTGGGCTTTTCTCCACCTGCCCGGTGCGCGCTCCCGACTTGCGGTTCTGACCTTGCCTCTCTTGGGGCTTTTGGGCCCCAGGCTCGTCCAGGGAGCCCCAGCCCAGAGGTGTCCCCAGGAATTCTGTGGGATCAGGAGCCCCGGCAGGCTGGTGGGGGAGGGCTGTGAGCAGGGGCAGCCGGGCCTGCCAGCCTGCAAACTGAACTGCACCCTTTGGCTCCACGGTCGGACCGACCCTGGCAGCCATATTTGGGCTTTTAGCAGCTTTGCCTCCACCCCCCACCCCCCCATTGATGTGGTGTCGCTACGCTACCTGCAAGGTCTTCCTTGGAAGAGACGAGCCTTGGAGAGCTGCTCCCTGGTTCAATTCTGAGCGACAGTCTGAAAACACAAAGATTGTTCACAGGATCAGATGGGCCCTGGTGTGTCAGAGGGGGAGCCGCGCAGGACCGTGTTTGCAATGGGTAGACGGGATTGCTGTTAGGGCCAATTACAGTCATGAAACCCAGGAATGCTCTGAGGTCCGCTCCAGAGCACAGCCACTTCCTTCCGGGTCTGCAGGGGACTTCCGTGACCAAGAAATAATGGTAAAGGATGACAGAGCAAAATGAGTAATGATGGCCCGTCACCTGCTGGGCACCAGTGCGTTGTGTTCATTCTCAGGACAAGCCTATGAACTAGGCAGGCGCATCATCCCCCTCTTGTAAATGAGGGAGCTGAGGGGTAGTGAGCTGAAGTAGCTATTCGGATTCACAGGCAGCAAGTGGTGGAGCAGGGGATCAAACTCCAGAGCACCTGAACCTAAACCTTTTTAAAAATTCTCATCCAAGGACATGCTTATTGATTTTGGAGGGAGGGGAAGGGCGGGATAGAGAGAGGGAGAGAAACATCGATGCAAGAGCAAACATCAACTGGTTGCCTCTCGTACACACCCCAATTCAGAACCTAACCTGCAACCTAGGCATGTGCTCTGACTGGGAATCAAACCAGCAACCTTTTGGTTTGCGGGATGATGCTCCACCCACGCCACGCTGGCCAGGGCCCACACTGGGGCTTTTAATCATCACGCAGCACTCCCCCTCAACTGCCCCCAGAGAGGCAGGAGGCAGTGGGCACGTTATAAGGATTGGCACCTCAGTATTATTATTATTTTCAAAAAACCATTAATTAAACTCTCACTGGTATGGCTCAGTGGGTTGGGCGTTGTCCTGCAAACTGAAAGGTCGCCAGTTCAATTCCTGGTCAGGTCACATGCCTGGGTCGTGGGCCAGGTCCCTAAATGGGGGCATGAGAAAGGCAACTGATAGATGTTTCTCTGTCACATCAATGTTTCTCTTTCACATCGATGTTTCTTTCCTTCTCTTTCTCCCTCCCTTGCACCTCTCTTATAGGAAAGAAAGAAAGGAAGGAAGGAAGGAAGGGAGGGAGGGAGGGAGGGAGGGAGGGAGGAAGGAATAAGTCATTTATAAAAAGTATTAATTAAGAACTTCTGAGTAAAAATGACAGAGTGAAGCCAGATGCCAGACTCTCCTTCTCCCAACAAAACCAATAAACAATTATGAAAGTTTGGGTGTAAACAAACTCACCAGATGCTACTCAACAAGGGAAGGCGCCTGAACTAGAGCCATGAACTTCAAAAACTTGCAGCCAAGAAAAGAAAAAGGATGGTGAGGTCTGAGCAAGGGCTGTAACGTGGCACGGCTCCTGTTCTACCGCCTGAGACTCCTCTGTGGGGCTGAGCGCAGCCCTTCCCTCCCATCCTCTGAGTGGCTCCAGGTGCTGGGATAACCGGAGGGGGCAGGGGGAGAGCACGGTGGGTGCTCTGACGGAAACGAAGCCTCCATTGGGGGACTTTCACACTTGAGCGCACTCCTTTCCGGAACGAGAGACGGCTTCTGACAGGGTGGAGGAAACCCTGGCAAGGCCTTAAAACAGACCCCCCGCGCCTGAAACAGACTGCGTTCTCCCTTCCTCATGGAGCCCGAGGCCTGCGTTCCTCCAGGTCCAGGAGGGAAAGACCAAGAAGCCACGACCTCACCGTACGGCAGGAGAACCAACCTGCCTCACACACACAGGAGCAGGGTCAGATGTCCCTCCCTCTAGTCTGGCTGTGGAGTATCCACACGGGGACTCTCAAGTGCGAGAAAGATGACAAGGAAGGGCATGGCCCCCCCGCAAGCATCCTCCCACAGAAGCGGGGAGAGCAAGGAGGGCAAACTGCCCCAGGAGCAAAGGACATCCCCACAGGTGCTGTGAGCAGTGAACACTCATGCAGAACATGGGCTGAATGGAAACAAGACCTGAAAAATGAGGTAACTGAGGAGTAAGGTGAAAAGGGGGGCCGGAGACTGAGGGGAACAAACCAAGGACTGAGTGAATACCCAAGGAGAAACGGACCGAGTGACTGGGATGACAAAGATGGAGTGAGAAAGACGCCAGCGGCCATGGAAGGCAGCGAGCGTCCAACGTGTGGGTTCCCAGAATCCCTGGAAGAGAAAAGCCAAGAAATGGCACCGATGGGGTCAAAGACATAAACCAAAAAGATTCCTCCGAGATGAAGAAAGAACGCGCCAAGTTCCAGGGAAATGCGATACAAACCCCCCGCTCACTCCCCCTGTTAAGCTCTTGTACTTCAAGGAATTCTTCCCCCATCAGGAAGACAAAACAAGTCCCTTAACAAGAGTTAAAAATCGGACTGACTAGAGGCTCCTCTGCAACAACATACAAGGCTGGGAGGCAGCGGAGCAAGGTCTGCAGTCCTGTGGGAGAGCCTTGCAAAGGCACTCAGCCCAGCAAGCCAGAAGCAGACGTGTTCATGAAAGAAATCAGAGCGTGCAGGACTCGTGAGAACCTACTGAAATCATCTAAATGAGGGGCCGATTCAAAATAAAGACTCCAGGAATGGAGGAGCCTGGAGAAAAAACAGGTGGTAAGAACTGAATCTGTTTAAAAACACAGAGCAGCAGGAATTACAATTCCTGGACATGACGTGTATGTCATAAACTTGGACTATGCAGGGGTAATAATATAACTAACAAAAAATTGGGAGGTGGAGAAGTGGAGGTGACGGAAGGGGGAGACTGCCAACGTTCTCGTCTTTTGGAGCCTGAGTTCACAGTGGAAACCTAGTTAAAACAGAACTGAGGGACTTGATCCTCCCATGTTTTCCTGGCCTCTTTATTAATCTTAGAAGCTCTTTTAGGAAGTAATACCTTTTGTGGTAGGGAAATGTTTATTTGAAGAGTAGCAATTCCTTATGTTTTATTTCAGTTCCTTTTTTCTTGTTAAAATAAAATTAAAGTTAATACTGTTAATTAAAAATAGCAAGTGTAGCATGATTCAACTTTGATTCCAGCCTTGCATCCATCCATCTATCCACCCTCAATGTATATATATGTACTTTTTATGCATAGAAAAATGTCTAAAATTGTATTCACTTAATGCTAATGGGAATTTGGATAATTTTTCTTAAATTAAAAAAAATTTAAAAAAGAAAAGACTAAAGGCTGAGAAAAACAAAGCCCTAGGCAGGCCCCTTGGCACAGCATCTCCAAAGCAGAGGGGACCAGGGTGTTAGAAATGCAGCTGTCAAGGTATGTAGCTAGGCAGCTGCGTCCTCTGGAGGGGTGGGGGGTAGCAAGTCTCTAGCTGGGCTGTGGAGTGTGGGCTCCACAAGCAGCATCACAAGCCCTGACCTCCCTGCCGCCACGCAGTCAGGCAAGGGACTCGCTCTCTGGAAAGGGACTCCCTCGATGGCCTGGGCCCGGGGGGCCAAGGCGGCAGCCTTCCTCCCTGGGTTTGTGCACTTCAACGACAGCAAAGGGCCTTTGTGCAGTGAAGGCCGACCGCTGTTTAGCACGAAGCACTGGGGGTGCTCAAAGTCCTCCAGAAGGGACAGAGTGATTACTCACAACCTGTGGCTTTTCCAAAGATTATCTCATGGTCAGAAATATTTACAGACCATTTTTCTCCTTAAGGGATATTAGTGTTAATGAAAAACTACTGTCTCTTTAACAGTGCTACTGGCACAGGAATGGAAAATATTATCCCAGAACCTAAGTGGGAATAATTTCACACTCTGGGGTTCATTTTTAAGCACAGCAAATGCTTTGTAAGTAATGAGCTCGATTTGTGGCAAACATAATTTTAATGATATTCTCTGGCTTTCATCTATTGTTGTTACTATTACGTAATAGATCAGAATTTCATATTATATTCTATTTCAACAAAATGTTATCCAAAAACAAGTAAAGGTATTATGTCTTGTTCCCAAAGTTATACCCAATCATTAGAACCGCCTACGGAACTCTGAACAACTGCAGATGTTCAGGCCCCACCCCAGACATCTGGACGGCCAGCAGTCCACCCGGGTGACCGCTCACAGCCAGGGCTGAGGACCGCTCGCGTAGAGCTGGCAGATGTGGGGCTGACTGCACAGTCACCCCTAAGGTCGTGGTGAGTGGATCGTGGGTGACCTGGAGGTGAGTCTCCAGTGATCACCATTCTCTACAGTTTTCAGTGACTTAGATGAAGAGTTATCAAGCTGACCAAACTTTCAGATCCAAAACTGGAAGAGATTAAAGTAAATATATTGCCTAGCAGGATACAAAGGAATTATGGTATGCCAGACACAACAAATGACCTGAGATTTAAAAGAATGCACGTAAAGTTGACATTTAGGGGATACATGCTCAATCACAAGATGGTTGAGACTTGCCCTGATATATCGGTTGTATGGAAGAGCACTGAGGCTCACGGTTGACGTCAAGCTTAAAATGGGCGAAGAGGATGTCCAATCAATATTGTAGAGTAGTTATGAAAAACCCTCTATCTCCCCCTCAATACACAGAAAGGCTTGATAAATTCCCATGTGCCACAAATGAAGACAGAACGAAAGCCGGAGCAGGGGGAGTGGAAGATGAGGCCGAAGAGCCCCCAGGGGTCTTCATGGGACCTGGCTCTACTCCATAGGGGCTGCTTGGGATGGAGATGGGGCCTCAGACAGTACCAGTCAGAGAGTGTCCTGCGGAAAGCTGGAACCACAGGGGGCTGCCCCGTCCATGAAACAGCCTCTTGGAGAACTGTTTCCCAGCCTGGAGATACGGCTGGAGAGCTGTCCCTCTGCCAGCGCTGTGAATCACCCGTGAGGCCTGGAGTGCCAAGCCTGCACCTCGCACGGCCAGTGTGTCCAAATCCACACTGCCCATGCCACCTGGGAGAGCCAAGCAGAGAGGCTCACAAAATACCTTCCTCCGAACCGCGGGGCCGGTGGGCCTGGGGCTCGGTGGGGTCAGAGGCCACATTCTGTGCACAGGCTATGTGTGCTGGGGCCAGGAGAGAGCAGGCACTCACTTGTAGTTGTCGTCCTCCACAAACTTCTGGAGCTCCTCGATGTAGCGTACGGACTTCAGGTACTTCTGCACGTGGGGCAGGGTTGTGAGGTGATCTGCAAAAGGTGGACAAAACCCAGAGGTTTCGGTCTTTCCTATGTCCAGGTCCCAAATGAGAAATTAGGAATCACTGATATTGGCATTAGATGCTGGGCACTGGGCACGGGGGGGTCATCAGGCCTGGGTTCTGCCCTCACGGAGTGCGCCCAGATGGCTGGGCCATAGTAGCCACACCCCGAGGCCACCACGGTTCTTTGGTCAGGGAAAGACGGATCTTTGGTGAGAGCTGGCCTCCAGAACAGACCACAGCCAGGTGTTTATGTCCTAAAACAGGTTTCTGCTGAGGTCATTTGACAAGCCTCCAGTGCTGGCCCGCCCGTTTGACAGGAAAGCAAGAATGAATGAATAACCTCATTCAGCCTGGTGTGGGGAACCCACCCAGGTCCTGCACAGCTGAAGCGCCTGGCCCGTGGGCTGGCGCGGCTGCATCCTGGGAAGGCAGGGATGGGCCTGGGTGCTTGAGCGCCTGCTATGCGCCAGGCTCTGTCCTGAGAGACTCTTAGCAGCAGTTTGCTTTAACCTTCACAGCTATCTCATTTGGGGGACATAATATGTCCATTTCACAGAGGAAGAAGTCACGGTAACTTGTGAAGCTCGTGGCACTGCGAAGCGGCAGAACTGGGTTTTGACTGTCACACTGCACTGCCTCTGTCTCCCGGAGCGGCTGATGTCGGCTGCTCTCTGCAGACCTTCATGGCTCCTGCACTCCTGAGGGGGCCTAACACCCTGCAAGATCCTCTTTGCCGTTCCCCACAGGGTGGGACAGAACAGCTAAGGCGGCAGTTGGAGGTCGTGGAGGTCCCTGAGGCTGGGAAGAAGAGCAGGAGGAGAGTGGGGAAGGGCCCTCGCTTTCTGGGTGCGTCCCGGTAACGTGAGGAGCACCTGACAGCTCTGCCCCTGAACTGCGAGATTCCGAACAGGCCGTGTGTTTCTCTGGAGTCTCAGAGTTCTCGTTTCTGCGTCTCTGCGGTGGAGAGAACACCGCTGCTCACAGCTGGTGATGGGGAGGGTGCAGGAGCAGGCACCGGTGCTAAAGGCAAGCGTTTGCTGAGCTCTAATGACGTGTCCGGGCATGCCAAGGGCCCCGCAAGCATCATGTCCACACATTTCCTGATGGGAAAGCCTCAGACTTAGAGGTGGGAAAGTGACTTTTCAAGAAGCAGAGCCGAGATTTGAGCCCTAGCCTGTCTGACCCCAAAGCTGTGCCTGAAATTGCTCTGCCGGCCAGCAGGACAGTGAGTGGAGGACAGCAGGACATGTACGTATCAGTGGAAAGGGCCTCAGTGGGCAAGGACTGCACTGGGAACGCAGTCCCCTCCCTGCTAGTCTGGTCAGAGGACAATTGGTGTGGAAGTGCTGACACCTCGCCCCACCTCTCGTTGGGGTGCTTATGTGCAGGCCATTTGCTTCAGTGAGCCCACCTTGTAGTGAGGCCACCCTGGCTTCCCAGGGGGTCTTCCCAAGTGGAGGCTGCTGATTTCCTCACACCCAGTGTCCCGTAGGCTTGCTCACACCCAGTGTCCTCACATCTGGTGTAGGATCGGTTTCTGTCTTGTCCCCTTTGCTGCTTTGAGACTTTTACTCCCCTATCCTTTTGTGAAAAACCAGCTCCATGGAGGCACACAGCTGCAACTCTGCCGCCCGTTCTCCTCTTCACTGATGACACCTCCCAACTGGCCCCTGGCCATTCATGTCGGTTCCTGGAGGGGCTGGGCACCTGGTCTCAGCTGATCTCCACACCCAAAGTCCGCCATCATTTTGGGTGAAATGAATGGCCATGGGGATGGCCCACGCAGCGTTGTTGTTGTGACTGCCCAGCTCCTTGGCCCCTCTCCTCCATGCATTTCAGACATCCCCCATCCCGGTCACCCTTGGGATCTGGTCATGGATGGCAGATCCTGCCTAAGTTGTCTACCACGTCATTCCCTTTTCCTTCTAGACCCTAGACAGCTAGATCCCCTTTCCCAGACTTCCTCAGCAGAAGTCACGAGTGTCAGGCGCAAGGCTGGCCCATAAGACTGGATCTTATGTGATGCTCTCTATTCCTGCATCATGATGCAGGGTTCAGTGGGGAACTCTGGAGGGGCCCAGGGACATGGCAGGGCCACAGGCGGAGGAGCCAGGGCCCCTGAACCTGCCTGCGGGAGAGCTGCCCTGGAGCTGACCATAAAGCTTATGAGTGAATGGCTTGGGAACCAGACAGACCTGGGCTCTGCCACTCACTCAACCTGTGATCATGGACAAGTGACCAACCTGTTTCCAGTCTCAGTTTCCTCACCTGTAATTCAAAGATGGTAACTTCTAGTTTGCACAGCCTGTGAAGATCAAACATCTACTTAAAAAATCTAGCACATGTTTGATGCTCAAGATAGAGCTTTCTCACTGATAAGGTACAGGACCCAAATTTCAGAGACGTAACATTTCATGATTCCAACAATCCGGGGTACTAACCATAGCTGCAGGAAACTTGTAAATCGGCGATTATTCGGAGAATATTGTTCATCTGATTGGATCTTTGTTCGTTTTCCATGATGCTGCCTGAGGCAGGATATGCAGAATCGATGTAGATTAAATCCAGAAGATAGATCCCTAAAAGTAAAGAAGATATTTAATGATGGTGGGTGTTCACCATTAATCAGACAAAATAGCACAAAACAGAACTGCTCTGCTAGAAATATAAAGGGCCACTTATGGAAAACTGAGATAGTACTTGGATTTCAATTCCAATCCTGACTGATTTTTCACAGAGATTGTTCAACTGTAAATCAAACATCTAAGTGACAACCAAAATGAATACTGGTAAGATTTTAGCATTTCTGGTTCATATACTCTTCAGCAACAAGGGTTTTTTTTCTTGTAACCCATGTGGAAAATAACAAGACATAAAAGAGATGAATGAATACTTGAGTTTCTCACCAACCGATGAAGTTTAATAGGTCTAAGGTATCATGTCCAGAAAAACACCATTTGGATTGAATTCAGTTCTTCATTCACTCACTTAGCTATGTGTCTATGTGTCTATCTGTACAAACACACACCCCAAAATCATAAATTACCTAAAGGACAAAAGAAGAAATTTTAAAAAGCAACAGTCCTTGGTATAAAAAGCTAAGGCTAAACAGAGAATCCGTCTGAGAGTGCTTAATAAGAAAATGACATGCGACAGAAAAGTATAGATAGGACAGGCCAGTGTTGAGCCCCGGCAGGGCCTCATGGCATTGCCCAGGGGAATCCGGAAGAAGCTACCTGGCCAGGGAGGGAGAGGAGGGCTGGCCATGCAGCGTGATGTTCTCACGGCTCTCAACTGGCCCGCCTGCCATAGGGCCATACTCGCTGGACGTGCCGCCCTCTGTGAGTGCTGCTGTTATAGCCACAATATAGGTGGGGTTGACCAGCGGTAGCGACGTAAAGCAGAATTTAAGGCAGAAAACAATGAACAAGTTAAAGAGAAGTGATTGCTATTAGTGAACAACACACTTGATTGAGAAGATCTAATGCCCACAAATCTCAATGCAAAAAGCAACACTGAATCGAAATGTTCAAAGCAAAAAACTGCCAGAAACAAAAAGCGAATTCAAAAAAGACATAACCATACAGTGAGCCTTTGGCATGTCTCTTCCAAAATTTGAGTGTGTGTGTGCATACAAAAATACACACACACATAGATATACAGATACATGTATGTATTTGTGCACATATGAATATAGTGTTTGAGTAAAATCAACAAGCTTGGTATTCCATAAATGAAAATGTAATTCTTTCACAATACCCTTGGAATTTACAAAAATTGATTATATACTACACTGTGAAGAAAAGTTTAATATGTTTCAAAAAATAAATTATCCATCTTCTTTGGCCTGATAGTACATGTAGGATTTCACAATAAATATTTTTTAAAAGCCTAACTATTTGAAAAACACACACGTGCACACATACACACATTCACAACTCTCAGACCAAAGGAAAACAAAAATCTAAAATGAAAAGTCTACTTAAAGGCAATGACCATAATTGCACTACATGTTAACAATTTATGGCATGAGACTAAAGTGGCAATTAGAGGAACATTTACAGCCTTAAAAGTTTACTGTTAAACTACTAATAATTATTACAAATGTAATTAACCAGGTAATTAAAAGGTGTGGATTTTTTGCATGGATAAGTGAGCAGTGTGCTGATCTATACATTCATTGTGTTATTTATCTTTATGATGCCCCATTTTACGGAGGAGGAAAGGGAAATGCGGAGGGATGTGGGTAACTAGCTCCAGGCCACACAGCTGGTCAGCGCGGTGGGAGCGGGACCGAGCCTGCCTCCCCAGAGGACACTCCTGCCATGGCGGCAGGCTGCCGCCGTCGCTGCTGCTGCCGCCGCCGTGACTCATCCTTCTGCTTTTAAAATAGCTACACATCGTTACGGGAAACCGTTAAATCACAGAAACATATGCTGATACTTCTCATAGGAACCACTTCCACATCCATTCTTTCTAGTGGCATCATGTTTCCAAAATTTCAGTAATTAGAAATAATTTCCCCTGTATAGAAGCTCGAAGTTCGGTAGGTTCAGATCCACAAATTTATTCTTTCTCTTGACCTTGTTTTTCCTCTCTCCTCTTAAAAATGTAACTCAGTTACTTCCCCAAGGATTCAGCTGTGGAAATCCTGGAAATCCCATCACCGCTTCACCCACAACAGAACCTATCCTCTGGCGTTAGGCAGGAGGTAATGGGGTAAGGGGCCCTGGACAGCTTTGTTCCAGGTAAGAGCGTGGTGCAGACTTGAACCCAGCTGCCTCGGAGTGGCTGAGTGAACGCGCAGCCCAGGAGCAGACAGTGAAGAGCAGGACAGGGAAGGAGAGAGACTGATGCCTCCCAGGGATTTATCGCAAGCTGGAAACTTACCCATCTCACCTCCTCTGATCCTCCCACCAACCCCAAGAGGATTAGAGAGAAAAGGAAAGCTCAGACACAGGAAGAAACCTGCCTGCGGTCTCACAGTGAGTGTGCAGGATTTGAATTCAGGTCTGTTTGGCTCCAGCCCAATGCTCCCACCCACTCACCGGCCATCAGAAACACACCAGGAATTGCCTGTTCTCAAACAACGCTCCCAGCATGGAAGCCTTGCCCTAATCCGTCCTGTGAGGGCGGGTGCTGGCCCCTCTGCTTCCTCTGAGGTCCCTGGCTCTGCACATAGAGGTCAGGGGGAGCTCACCTTTGCAGGTGCCAGCACATCATTTCCACTGCCCAGCCCCTGCTTGCACCCTGGGAGCACAGGGAGCTCACTACTTCATAAGAGCAAATGCCACTGTTGCAGTGTTCATTGCCCACCTCCTCAAAATGTGCAGATTCCAACACCTGTCTATTCCCCAGGGCGGGAGAATACAGGCCAAGGCCATGGTATGCTGAGGACTGAGGGGACCTTGCAGAGGAGGCCTCCTGGCTCTGGTGACCGGGAGAGACCTTGATCTGCGGCAATGCCTGGACACAACTGCCATATAAAGTCTTTCACTCCCATAATAAAAACTCCAAAAGCAGCAAATCTTCCACAGTTAATACTGCACAAATCCAGGGAAATCTTTTCAGTATTATTAGCCTATAACTGGAAATATTTAAAAGCCTAAACCATAATGAAGTCATAAAAATAGCCACCTCCCACTTGTACTGTGCCAGTGCTGAGCTAAGCCCTGTACAGGGTTAGCACTGACCACAATTGTAATTGTGTACTTATTTGTATCACTCATGCATTTAACGTCTGATTTCCTCATCAGACTCAAAGCCCCTCCAAGTAGGAAATGTGTCTTGCTCCAGGAGCTCAGTCCCCAGTGGCCGGAACAGAGCACACGGGAGCTGCTTGGTAAACATGAGCTGCAAGAAGAAAAGCATGAACGAAGCCATATTTTATTGCATCCATACAATAACCTAATGAAGTACATTATCACTCTCATTTTGTAGTGGGGGAAAGAGACACAGAGTTAGGTGATGATGATAATAAACCTGAGCACTACACACCAGGTCCTAAGCTAGGAGTGTTGCCTGGGTTATTGAGTCCTAACAGCACCAGCGTTGTCAGGGAGGTTTTATCTGTTTTACAGAGTGAGACACTGAAGCTGCGAGAGTCACTTCACTTCTCTGAGGCTGCACAACCGGGAAGTGACAGAGGCAGGATTCGAACAAGGGTCTGTCCAGGCTGCCATGTTGTCATTTTATTTTTAGCCCCAGCCCGTCGTCTGGTGCCTGGCGGCTGGTGAGGCAAGCCGAGCCCAGAGGTTTCCAGGCTACAGCTCCCCGGCCTGCTTTCTCCTTTGGAGTCAACACTCTCCAAGAAGACACAGGGCTGAGCCGTGGCCATCTCCCCCTCCCACGTCTTCCACTTCCTCCCACCGCTTCCCTGGCACCCGTCATGGTGCATCTGTCCAGGTCCCATCGTCAGTGCGCCCATCCAGGCCTGGGGGCCCTGCCGACTCTGCCACGTGACAGGCAGCTGTGGTGTGAGCAGGAGAATGTGGGGCTTGGAACCAGGAGATCTGGAAGCCTAGTTCAGCCATGCTGGGTGGCCCCAGGCAAGCCTTTTCACCCCCCAGGGCCTTGGTTTCCTTGACTGTGACCGGGAGTAACAACAGTGGTCGTGCGGAGTCCGCTGGCCCGGGGCCTGGGCCACGGAGATGCCCAAGAAGCGAAGCTAACCTCGGGCCTGGCTCCATGGCGAGGCTCCCGGGAGGGCTGCGCTGGCTGGGTTTGCCATAACCATGGGTGGCACCCAGATGCAGACCATGTGGTGGCCACCCACCTCAGACAGGCCAGTGGTAGGAGCTTCCATCCGGGTTGGGAGAGCACAGCTGGGCTGTCTCCACTCCCTTCCTACTTATACAGAGTCACTGTGGCCAATGAAACTGTGTCACTGGCTTCGTTAAAATGCAGAGTAATTGGACCAGCCACTGGCCCTGGCTGCCATGGGGTGTGTGGTACCAGAGATGGGGGCTAGGCTGGGAGGTACAGACACATTGGAGGAAATGACCACAAGAGTAACAGCCACTCTGTGACAAGAAAGGCTGGCCTTGTTTGTCTCATGGCATTTAGGTAATCTCATTTTCCCACTTCACAGATTAGGAAATAAAAGCTTGCAGAGGTAAGGTGACTTGTCTGAGGTCACACAGCTTGCAAATGGGGGAGCAGGATTTGAATTCAGGCCTGCCTGACTCCCAAGACTTGGGACAGAGATCCATGCTGGGTGCTAGCAGCTAGGAGTCACTGGCTGGCACAGGGATGAGGACCCCGGTCACAGGGATGGGAGCCTGAGGACTCCTGCTGTGCCCTGCACTCCCCGCCCCGCCCCCGTGACGCTGCTGGCAGCCCGTGGCTTGCCTGCCCACAGACTGGGCCTCCTCTGAGAGGAACAGCTACCCGGACATGCTACTGCTCTGCTCCCGCCCGCCACGTCCTGCACGGGGACTGGTGTCACTGCCATGGCGGCAGAAGAAGTGCCAATCAGCCCGCCATAGCGGGGCCCGTGGGGGTGAGCAGACCTCGGCTCGCTTTGCCGTGGATGCCCTCCACAGCTGGGCTGGTCCCGGCCCCCGGGGCGTGTGGCCAA